GGTCCAAGACAGATACTAAAGGACTTTTTCATGTTATATTTAAGGAGGTTACAGCTCATCTTCTTTTGACAATCTTTTGCACAAGCACAGCTTCATCCAAGAAATAATGCAGTGCTGAAAAATCAACAATATCTCTTGAAAATGCAAAAGCCCACTGTCTGCTTCGCTAGCATGGCTTCAGCAATGCTGACCAGCACACCTTGCAAGTATACAACTTGGCCTGTCACTGCCAAGTTAAGAAAAACACTCCAGATTTTTCATTTTGCCTGAGACTTTTCATCTCTGACACAAGAGATGAAATCACCAGTACAAACATACGCTTAGGTCTGTGGATGTCAAATTCTTTATAATAGAATGTATTCGGTTTTCTGATGGAGTAGAGTGGAACAGAGAGGAAAAAAAGAAAAGGGTGGGCTCATAAAGCATTGAAAGGTTCTTACCAGCACCACTAGCTAGTTTGATGGAGTGTGGCACATCACACTGCTGAACCGCCTCATGGTTTTCTCTGTTGAGATGGGACTATGAGCCACATTTCCAACGAATAAATAACAGATAATACCTGGCTGTTACTTCTCTGTTCTTTTGCAGCTAGATGTCAAAACCTGATGCAGAAAAGCAGAGACAGTGAAATACATTCATGTGTGCTGAGCAGAACCTCTGGTCTCTGATAAAAATTAAATTCATACTGTCTGCTCCCTCCCAGTGGAGGCACAAACATTATTTCTTTCTTCTTCCCAGTGACTACCGAAATATGTCAAGATACAGATTTTTCAAAGCCTCTGTCTTTGAACTGGTTGGAAATTAGCCAAATATTTCAGAAGTTATCGCAAAGAAAGACAAGCTACTCCTTTGTCTGATCACGTATGCCTTGTGTTCATGTGAAAACTCAAGAAAATCCTTTAGTGAGACAATCTGAGCAGTGGTATTTGGAACTGTGCCCAGTAAAGCAATTTATGGGCCGGGGAAATAATTACAGAGCTTTGCATCCCTCTATCACCCTGCAAGGGAGGTAGTTACAGCAGCAGACGGGAAGTGATTGCTCACATGTGCTTGGATTGCAGTCTGCTGCCTGGCAGGTCTCACCCACTGCCGGAGAGGAAAGCGGTATTTTTCAGGCATATGTCTATGTCAGTCTGACATAGCTTCATGGGTCTTGCATGGAAGTTGGACGGAGATATTGTACATGTTCTTGTTCTGCCTGCAAGAGAGCTGGTAAAAGTGAATCTCATTCACACCAGCACTGGCTTAGCTCTCTGGTAATGCATTTCTTTTTACAGGAGAAAAAGGAATGTGTGCCATGGTATTGCTCTCTTCCCTAAAAATAAATGCAGAGAGAAAAAGAGGATTCAGGCAAAAAGACTTTGCAGGATTATTACTGCCACCCCCCCAGTCTCCCCTCAGCGGAAATCCTGACACAGGCCCTGAGAAATCAACTGATAGGTTTAAGGGTAAACTTGACAAGACAAAAAAAGTTCTTGCTCTGATTTATGAAGCTTCACACTTGCTTGCAATCTAAAAAGCTAAAAACTTCAGTGAAAATAGAAACTGAGGTATCTGCCTGATTCCAGAGGGTGGAGATTTATGAAAAAATAAAAATAATGAGGTTTTTCTGATCAGACACTGTGGAGGAGAGTTTTTGAAAGGCATAATTTACATTTTTTTTTTGCAAAGATTTCCCTGCAAACTGCACAAAACCTCCTCTGACTGAGCTCAACTATCAGGTGTTTGTTAGAAAAGCAAACAATCCAAAAAATTGCAAGCCTAAAAACTCACATGCCCCATTTGTAGAAGAGCGGAAAATTAGTGAATAAACAGTGTCTACTGTTAAAAATCAGAGTACTCAGAGACGTTATCCCTCCTGAGAGGTTACCCTAAAGCAGTGCCCTCTGAACACGTCACTAGAATGGATGATGTGTGCAAAGCCCCTGTATCCCTGTGTTTTAGCTGTGATAGCTCGAGGGGGCACCTTGGACACCACTGAGCATGATGTCAGTGTGATCAGGAGGACACATCAGGCCTGTGAGGCAATCAGCAAGAGCCTTGGTGGAAACAGTAAGTTCCACATGAAGCAGAAACAGCATCTGCAGGGAAGCACATTGCTTTCATGGAGCACAAAACCCCTAAAACTAAATCATTCTGCTTGTAAAGAGCACCTCTAAAACCTTATAGCGTCCATCCCTGTATAATTCTTTTGTACCATGACACAGGCATACGCAACATAAATGTACTGCTAAGTGATGCAGGAATAAACTGAGAGCACCTGTCCCTTTGGAATTAACTGTACTGCAGACACATCTTCTGCAAATCAGGCCTTTAGCTGCAAATGCATTGCACACCTAGAGCAGACCAGTTTTTTTTTAAATAAAGTTCATCACAAGTGCTCTATTCTGGAACAAAGAATCCATCTACCATCTCTGAAGTTCCCATGTGTTACAATTTTTTCCCAGACTGGGACTTTTTAGTAGAATTACCCAGGAGACTTTTGCAAACACACAATTTTCAGGAGCTCAAGCAATGTCAAAAAAAGATCTGAGCACAAGTGCCAAGATTTTATCTTCAGTTATAGTTCTGACTTTTGATAAATGATGGGGAATGTTAGACTATCGTTTTGAATTAAAGAAAGAGAGATCTCAAATGTTATTCAGAAGTGTAAGCTGAAAGACCTATATAAATAGAAATCCCATACTAATAGGACATAATGTTTTGCTCCCTCACATATAAAACCACTGTCAGTATTAGCTTAGCTAGGTGCAGGGGCTTGGTTGATTATACTAGCTATCTCAGCTAGTTCTCAGCCATATAAGGTTTCGGTCTTAATTTTAGTTTCATTTTTCTACTGGAAAATGCCAGTTTGTTAGATGTGGTGTTTTGCAGAAGAGCCACTTTCTTGGGGCTGTGAAGGACCTGCTGAAGGGGAAGGCAGGCAGCAAAGGTAGCTGCCTGGGAACTCAGGGAGTGGACAGACAGATGTGCTGGACTGCGACAAGCTGGACCATCTTTCTACAAGAGATTTGAGAAATGAGTTCACAGCTGATTCTGCTATTGTGGTCAGAGAGCTAAGAGAAGAGACCAGAGGAAAGGAGCATGCAGAGATGGTAGCATTATCATCATTTTTTTAATAGGGAGAGATGGTAATATTTCTATTTCCAATACAAAAAGAAGAAGCAGAAGTCAAAATTCCTCAGAAACACAGTATTTTCTCCTGACTGGATTTATCCACAGCTTGCCTTGATGAATCCTAGGGGTCAATTAACAAAGATTCATTTACTGTCTCTCAACCTAATAAAAGCAAAGCACCTGCCTGACCTTTCTTGCAGACAGCTTCTAGGTTTAGGCAGCCACAATCAGCTGTTCTCCATCATCATGCTAAACCAAACACCACCCAAGTTTTCATTTTCCGGTGCCAAAATCCTTCAGCATAATACCATCAGCTTTCCCTGTGTTTGTGTGTCCTTTTCCACCTTCTGTACTCTCCTGCTGATGTCATAGGGTCTTATGGATTCATGCTAGCCCCTGGGATCAGTTCACAGCTAATGCAGATGCCCTGGCCTTTGTACACTGGTTCTCAGCACATTCAGCTTCTCTGTCATACTGCTTTTTAGTACTTAATTACGTTGTTTGTTTTGCATTTATTGGAGTGTGCTGTGCTTTCACTGCTTAGATAAAACTAGCTCGAAATCCCTAGGGCTCCTGAAGGAACACTACCACAGGAAATTAATGAAAGCACTATTTATTCCAGCACAGGGCAAACACACTGCTAATGGTGACAAACTCTCAATCCTTGGTGGCAGAATTGGTGAAAAACCCTGCCCAGTCCATATGTGTGAAGAGATGTGGCCATTGCAACTGCTGGTGCATAGCTCAGTCTGAAGGACCAAATGGCAGGATACTAAAGTGCCTGCACATCCCACTCAATGCTGTACTTTCTACTGTCAATGTCATCAGGAAGATCCCTTGACACAAACTTGAGAAATTAATAGCACTCAAACAAACAAAACTTATTATTTTCCACTGGACAAACTCTAATTGTCTCAGAGGCTTTCAAGTCCAATGACAGACATTTCATTTAAAGCAAAAAATAGTAGTACTGTATCTCTTTTTTTGATCTTGAAGACTAGGAGTCTTCAGATCTGAAGTGCCTGCCCCGATTTGACAAATAACCAGGGCTGGTAGATGTTTAATGCAGGCAGATTAGAAATACAGCTGACAGCGTAAATGTGGAGGGTGCTGTGGACTACAGACTGTAGTTTGCAATAGGCACCAGAGAGAAATATAAGCAAATGCTTCCTTGCAGTCACTGATGAGAGGGCCAGTGTGGCTCCCTTTCTGTCATGTTACATTATCTGCCATGCTGGGAAACTCAGTAATTACTCTGCACTCACATACTTGTTGAAACAAACCATGAGCATACAGTGATTGTAAGTTAGACAATGTCAAGACTGTCTCATGATGGAAACAAACAAAAACATTGTCACTTCTTTGGTAAAGAAGTATTTCCATATTAAAACTGGGAAAGAAGAACTGACTGAACAATTTTTCACAGGGAAAGGAAATGGTTCCTGGAAAGCAAATTCATTCTGTACAACAGAAATTATTTTTCTGCTCCTGGAAGAATATTCCAAACTGAGGACCAATAGATCTGTTTGCCCAATGGGAAAGCCAAGTGTTTGAGATAGCAAGGGTGTTTTCTATTCAGAAGATATGTCCACAGAAAATTCTTAGCTAGACATTGTATTACCTGATGGAACCTGACCATTGTCAACTAAAAGCTAAAATATCTTGCAGACGTCTCCTCAGCAAAGTGTCTCACAAGTCAACCACCATTATTATCACAGAGACATATCAAGGTGTGGGACACATCATCCTCTTGAACTACCCTCCCCTATCCTTAAGAATGTCTTGCCCACATTAGGGTTCTGGTGAACTTTCCCTGTGGTGTGGAGTGATGGCTACTCCATGGATGCAAAACTGTGAATTGCCAGGAGATGTTGTAACATTACCTCATGAGACAGATAAAAGGCAGCAATTCCCAGTGGCCAGAAGCAGCAGAGCATGGAGAACACAGTGAGGCCAAGATGATCTCTTGGTGGCATCACCAGGAAATTGTCTTCACTTTCGGTGTCACTTGAGTAATCGCTCTGGAATGGGGAGAGAGAGAGAAAGGTAGAGGTGCTGGTTAATGATATTATTGCTTTTCCTCTGCCATGGGCCAATTCTCTGATCATTTTCCCATTTCTCCTAGCACTGCTAGCAGGTGTCCTCCTTGGGAATGCCACGGAATCTCCACACACCTGCTTTGTCACAGACTTCATCACTATTGCATTAACTTAAAAGGAAATGTATGAGAAATGACAAGTTATTTCGAAAATCACTGCAGGGAGCATGAAAGAAAGGGACCCTCTAGTCAGATGAACCAGGGTGAACCTGGGTGAGTTGTCACTTTGGAAACATGACGTCACATATCTAATGCAGAAGGAGCTGTAAACATTGGGTGCTCTGCATCTCTCAACTCAAATGCCAGTCTTCTGAAAGGTCACTGTTCAGGTGACCAGACATTACCCACTGGAGACAAGGTGACAAATGTAGTGCAAACCTAAGCATAAGGGACCAAGGTAGAACAAGCTTGAAAGAGAAAAAAGCATGAGTTGCTTCAGCAGCAACGGGATGCTGCCAGGTTCATAGTGTTAAGGCAGAAGCAGCTGCCCAAGCATGTTTCTCAGATGCCACATGGTTAAGCTGCAGCAATCCTGATCTCACAAAAGTTTCTTTCAAGGTGATTACAAGGACTGGTCCATGGCAGACCTGACTGCCCTGCTGCTGAGCGAGGCCAGTTCTCCAGCACAGCTTCCTACTTGCTCACAGGGAGTCCACATGCAGGAACAGACACCAAGGCTGTGTTATTCCAGGCTTTGGAGTTACATCTTTGGTGCAAGAAGGGTCCTTAAAAGCTTTTTAACTCATTCTGGGAGCACCTCCAGCCTGAGACGAGGCAACCAAAAATCCTCTCAAGAAAACTCTTTTGTAGTTGCATGTTCTTCACTGATTGTAGGAGAAATGCCGTGCAAAATCTGACTGACAGAAAGGCATCTGTGTCACATTTAGAAACTTAGCATTTTGACCATGGGTTTTCTGTCCCACTGACAAACTTGGCAGCCTGTTCAAGAGCTTTTGGCCTTTGGGTCAAAACAACTGCTGAAGTGACATTGCTGTATTAGTGGCCTGTAAGATAGAAACTCCTGAACTGGCTGCTAAGTGTGCAAGTCAGGAAAATGAACCTATGCACAAGAAGGTAAGTTTGTAAACATGCCACGAGCAAGCCACAACTGAGAAGGACCTAGAAAATGCTAGCAACCCCATGGTATTTGAAAGACTTGGCAGTGGGCAAAGAGACTGCCTCCTAAGACAACCCATTTGGGAAACATGCCAGATGTCATGACCCATCACCTGTTAAGATGTAAAGTCTGCTTTGACATATATTGCTGTCAAGCACCTGCCACAGACCAAAGGGGCCTGGGAGGCACAGATAGGGGGATAAGACAGGTCCCTCATGCACTGAGATTGTGTGCTGCATGGCATACCAGCAATGCACATATTTGTATCAGTATCACAACTCTTGATGCCTCATCAGAAGTGACAAAGCTCGATTTGGTACAACCTCAGTAAAATCCCACTTCTGAAGGGACACCTGCTGATGCTGGAGTTGGAGTGTTGGAGTTGATGACTTCCCTTTTTGCTTTAATTTTCAGAACGGGCCACACAAGTAATTTTTAATACCAATAGTACTTTCTTTCAAGAGTAAGGGAGTCAGGAAGAGAGAGACAATCCACACTATTGCTGAAGCCATCCCTTGAAACAGTATGCTCATCTGAACAGATAACATAAAAAATCAAAACTGCTTTTGATTTTTCAGTTTTTGGCTGAGTAGTGTGCTGGCAAAGTATCTGTGGAGACTACCTGACTCATATTTCAAATTGCCTTTTTCTTGCAGATAAAGATGAAATGGGACAAAGATTCCTCAGATAACTTTGATCATCAGAAAATTATCAGTTATGCTGCTTTCCAAAGGGACTAACCATTCTCAGGGTGGTGCGTCACATCTCAGACAGCTTACGTACCACCTGGAGGTGACTGTTAGTTTGCAAGAGGATAACTGTGGAAGTTTTCTTACTTATGCTACAATGAAAGGGATGTCCAGCATTGGAATAGTCTGCCCAGGGAAGTGGTTGAGTCACCATCACTGGAGGTATTTAGAAGATACACAGATGTGGCACTTAAGGGATGTGGTTTAGTGGGGGCTTGGCAGCGCTGGGTTAATGGTTGGACTCGATGATCTAAAAGGTCTTTTCCAACCTAAAGGATTCTATGGTTCTATAAAAACCCATAAGGGTTAATCTTCCATGAGGAAGATTAAGTTACTATAGGCTCATACTAATTGAACAGAAGAGTTACACTGTGAATGCCATTTTGATGGGCCAAGTCCCCACAGTACACATGGGATCCGATGACCTGACTGTTAATTACCAAAAGTGACAGAATAATTCTGATCAGAAAGTCCTGACCATGTAGACCACATATGAACCAGAATAGTGGGTGTATCGGTTCTGGCTGAGATGAAGTTCATTTGTCCATAACAGCCCTCATAGTGCTCTGCTTTTCATTGGTAGCTAGACAGGCAGTGATAACACACCAGTGTTTTGGCTACTGTTGAGCACAGCATCAGCACTGTAACACTCATTCCCCAATTGAGGGCAAGATCCTGGGAGGGGACACAACCAGGTCAGCTGACCCAAACTAACCAAAGGGATATTCCATACCATATGACATCAGCTCAGACATATAAGCCAAGGAAAGGAGGAAGAAGGGGGGGCATTTGTTGTTTACAATGCTTGCCTGCTGAGGAATCACTACGTGTTTTGAAAGCCCTGCTTCCTGGGAAGCTGCTGATGGGAAGTAGAGAATAAACCTTGATACCTTCTGCTTTGCTTTTGCATGTGCAAACTTTCACTTCTGCTTTGGTAAACTGGCTTATCTCAACCCACAAGTAATTTTCCATCTTATTCTCTCACACCTTTTCCAGCTGGGGAGTGATAGAGCAGCTTGGTGGGCATTTGGTGTTCAGCCAAGGTCAATCCACTACAGTGGGGGAAAAAAAAAGTCATAAATCACAGAAAGCAATTCAACAGCAAAAGGTACCTCTTAACCTTTTCAGCTAAATATTCCTTTCTCCGAACAAACCTTTCTTCCTAACATTGTCTCTTACAATAGGATATCTGATCCTGAGCTTACCGAGAGATCTTCTCAGAAATGTCAGAAACCTTTCTGACACTGGGATAACTGATAATTTGGCTACCTGTCTGTCTTCACTTGTTCCTGGTTCTGCAAGAGCTGTACCCCAAAACTGGAGAAATTAGACATTAGTGTTGAGAAGTCAGAATTACATTCACGAGTTAGAGTAGTGTTGTGTTACCAAACTAATTTTGCATATTCACTAATATTCTTGCCCACAGCATCGCTCCTTTTATGTTTAACAGTCCCTTTAAAAATTTACGTGGAACTTTTTACAATTACAGCATTTCACTGATCTGACTAAATGCTTTTAACTCTTGTATAAGTTAGGGAACAGCATAACTATCTTATTTTCAAGATTTGGATGATGAACAAGACTGCACAGACAAACTTTTTCTTTATTTAATGTTAAGCTAGGCAAGTTTAAGCAATCTGAAATAGCAAACCATCAAGTTTTTTTCCCTCTAGATGTGTACCACCAGTGCCTTCTTCAACCAAGCAATAAGCAATTAAAAAAGAACCTATGCAAGCATTAAAAAAAAAAAATCCTGGCAAAGGGAATCCCTTTCTTGATTGAGTTATTCTGTTCATGTCTAGAGCAAAGATCAATCACACTCTCCTAACAAATTCCAGTTATGCCAGGCTTTTTACTGAGCTGGTAAAAACACAATCGACTCATTCTCTTTGAACAGAGCTCTTCGATCCATCAGACAATATCACTATCTTCATGATGCTAGAAAAACCTTAGGAAGAAACAAGGCAAAATAAATGCTGATGGAGCTGCCATCACCTAAGTGTCAAGAGAGTGCAGGATCATGGGGTGTCAAGGAACAACAGCAGCAAGTTGACACTCTCTTTGGGACACAGAGGGATTGACCCCTTTTCAGACATGACATCTGGCTCCAGCAGCTTCCACTGCAATGACACAACCACTTCTAACCAGATCAATGCATAGAAAGTATTTACAGAAGGCAGCACCTTTCTATGGTAAGTCAGGTTCTTACTTGGAGATGCATCTTTGCACTTTAATGTGAAAGATGTACGCTCAGCAAGGTCCACAGTCCTTCCCCTGGCCACATGAGCTGCGCTCACTGCAGCCCATGCAAGGTGCTGCTGTGAGAACAGATATCTATACCAATGTCCCTGTAGCAGAAATTACTCATTTGAGAGTAATTTGAGAAATCTCAAATTACTGAGCACATAGTGGGGGTTTCCTGCTTCCAGTGGATTGGTCGTAGCAAAGGCAGTTACTACAGTGATGACAACCCTCCTCATCCCCACTGACTACATCTCTCGTCAACACACTTGGAGTTCAGCTGAGAAAACAACACGGGATAAAACTACCTCAGTACACTCAGTTCTTACACAAGCCTTTTTGTGGCTGTGATGAAGAGGAGGTGACCTCAGAAGAGTAGGCAAGACTGGTGTTACCAGGAGATGAAGTCCCAGAGGACATCACCCCAGAGCACGAAATTCCTGCAGACAGAACACCACCCTGCCCAGATGAGTGCCAATTACAGTAAAAGACAAAGCAAGCTTCCCTTCCCTTCCCTTCCCTTCCCTTCCCTTCCCTTCCCTTCCCTTCCCTTCCCT